CTTTTCAATTTGACTTTTTTTTTGACTTTGACTTTTGGGATTGACTTTTTTTTGACTTTTTTTTTGACTTTTTTTTTAAATTTTGAAAACAGGTTCTTTCCAATGAAAGTTTTTTATAAATATATTCACAGTAACTGTTCTGATACGCATCTGACTCAGCAAAATAAGACTTGAAGTCTACAAGCAAGAACTGGGCAAAGAAATACTGATTCAGCCAGTACACTGGAAAAGTCTGTCTGTTCTTCTCCCAATGTCCAACCGACGACTAATTTAGAGCTAAGAACAGTGAGGTCACTCCATTGAAGGAGTTGGAAACTATATCTCCCATCAGTGGCTTTCACCATTTCCAACCAACAATTAGCTTGTCTTCAGTGATCATATATGTCCACTTCACTTCACTTCGAGAATTCCTCATAAGACCGACCATGTCCATTTTCACCATGTATGTTTAACACTTCTTCAGATCGTCACCATGCTTCTCTTCGAAGCGAACAGAACATGGACCGATCCGGCGCCGGAAGCGTTTCGAATCGGAAGAATCGTTTCGAATCTCTCGTATCGAACTCTTCTTTTGGACGGAAGAGGCTGAATACACAGAGTTCAGAACAATTAACCCTTAGTTTCTTCACTTCTTTTGGTGTTTTGGTTCAACTGGGGCGTGTTTTCATCTGAACACTGCTGAGATGCTAAGAAGTTGCTCATGAGCAAGGCAGCCAAGCGCGGCTGCTTCCTCAGCTTTGATCCGAACCCAGCGGCCCCTTTCGGAAGGCTAGCTGCCGGACCCTTCGACATCGGACTTGGACTTAAGACACGTTCTTGAGATCGTTTCACATCTCGGAGATCCACACTGGACCCAGAAACCATTCAGATGCTCGAGGCGACACCGTACCTCGGACCGAGTTCACCGTCCCGCGACGGTGAAGGTCGGCTGTCGCGGAGGTGCGAGAAGGTGCGTAGCACGGACGGGTACCGTGCTTCTGAATCCGTGTGAGAACAAGGCAAGCACGGACAACGAACAGACAACAGGTGCCACGATATGAGTGTACCTGGCCGGGCACTGGATGGCACTGTGAGCCATTGTGAGCCACTACAACACACATCAAACAATCTGGGTCGATCGCTCCGTAAAACCAGCTAAGGTCTGCAAGCAGAATATACTGCACCGTGCACCATTGAAACAGGACATGTGATCTTCGGCAAGAACATCTACTTCATAGCTCTTTAGCAGAGTGTCCATCTAATTGGAAACGCATGGAAACGCAAAACTCTGCATTTCCATATAGGCCCTTTGGTGGAGCACCAACTAGTGATCACGTAAGCAAGTGTACCTTCAACTAGGGTACCTGGCCATGAAAATCTTCAATAACCCTTACACACACACACATCATTGGACATCATGAGTGCTTTCATACGCATATATAAGTATACAGGTGTTCATCTGGATGTGTCTGGGAATCAAGAACCTCCAATGTCACCACAGCCTAGCAATTATACAAAATAACCAACCCTCACTTTTCCGAACAAACTCAGCTGGCAATGACCAGAGTCTGGGTTTTCACCCCAAACTCCCAGCTGCTACTCTAATGAACGAACCAAGATTTGCAGGTGTTCCCAGCTTCCCAAACCCGCTTCCCAACCCCGACTCCCAACCCTCGCGAGGGCCAGCGTCTCTTTCTTGATGGGCTCTAAGGAGTGATGTTCAGTGTAGAGTCCAGGATGATGAAACCGTGCCGCGCACGCCGGGCAGAACCGGGCGTTGCATTCCACGCACCAAAAGGCCGCGTTCCCAGGGCATTTGCTACCTCGGGAGGGCGTTCACCATCATCCGTTCTGTTCCGAAAAGGCGGAGGCAAAGCGAATCGGCGCATGGTGTTCGTCCGAAGGGCGGAGAAGATCGCCGGGATCCGAATTGAGCTTTTCCCCATGCTAAGCTACTAGGTCGAGGATGGATCCTCGCACAAGGCTGCAAATGAAAAAATAGGCGGAGACGCCTCCTGGACGGAGGCGGAGGGTGAGATCAATTCTTCATCGACTGGGCCAGCGGAAGAATTGGGATCGGATGGGACTGGGGAATGGTCCTTTTCGCACCAAAGTCTTCAAGACTTCCTTCCAAAACTGGGCGACTCCCCGGTGACCACCCCCCCCCCGAGAAAACCATTGAAAGAACGACTTAAGAGTCAATGGATCGCCGATTCATCGATGGAATCTCCGAGGGAAAGGAGAAATGGTCCATGCATTCTTCAGATCAACTTTGGGCCTCATCTGGGACATCACCCAGTTGTAATGCAAGTAAGTAGGACCTTAGACTTGGCCTTTCCAAAGTTCTCTACTGCTTTCCACAGGTTGAAAAGGCACCTGAAACACTGAAAAAACAAGAACAAATGGCTCACAACTTCACACAAGCCCAGGAAAGCACTGCTTTTACCTGTTTTCTTTGAACATGAGAGGCGTGTCAGAAGCTTCTCTCTGGCGCCGAGGTGCAGTATGGACCCACCGTCCATGCAGGGCAAACCGGATATGGATACCTGAAGCAAAAGCAAACACTAGCTGTACTGACCTGAACTGTACTGACTGACCTATACTCCCCAAGAAAAAATCGAGACCTGAACTAGGACCTGAACTAGTGGTACGGATGGGCTGGTCTTCTAGGGCTGGTCTGAACAAGCTCTCTAGGCCATAAGACTGCCGGACTGCCGATCAGGCCAGGTGGATTTTCAGGGGTCCATGGGGTGGCATATTCCAGCAACTGGGACTGTCTACAGTGCGAGTGACTGGCCGCCCTGAGGAACAAAACATCCAGAGTTAGAGACCAAGTCTCAAACCAATCATCATCACTTCACAGTCACAATCCGAACACAAGCACACTATATAAACATGTCCTATATGATCCTATATGTACAGTATATATAATATATCATCTATCCACTCATATATCCTATTAGACGATTATCAACTCTATATACAAACCATTCACCCCCTGCGTGCCTGTCACACTCCCCTGCCTGTCACGGCACTTCTTCACCCAGGTGCCAGGCATGGCCGTTTAAGGCGGTCCGGGCCGCCGAGAAGTAGGCGGCCAACGGGCTCAAGGCACTGAAGCGCGAGGTGTAGCGGTCTTTCGTGAAGAGGAAGTGATCCAGCGGCCGGAAGACATACCTGAGTGTTGTGGGTGATGGGTCATATGTAGCGGGAAGTGATGTAGTACCTGAAGTCCTACATGAAGAGAAGTTGGAAGTGATGTAGTAGGTGTGGGTGTCAGATCTGAAGACATACCTGTTGCTTGGTGTCCACCACAGACTGTCTAAGACATACCTGAAATGTGATTTATAGTGGGTCCAATTCTTTTTCACCCAATGAATGTGGATTATGGTTCATGTGGGTGTGGGTGTGTATGTTAAAAAAAAGGAACTTCTTTTGAAAGGTTCCTTTATGAGCAGCGAAGAGCTGTCTGAATACACACCCATGTGATCCAGTGGGTCATACCTGATTCATCTGCATGGTGTCCACCGTGGACTTCGGCTCTGGAGCTGCACTGTGCACGGTGCCAGCTGCAAAAAAAACAACAAATATTGAGCTCTTCGTTCAAGATGAGCGTTTTCCTTGGTCCATTTCCCGGTTCAGCTGTCCGTTGCTATGTAGATACAACCCCCGACTCCTCATCCTTTTGTAGATCCTCATCCTGATGTAGATATCCCACGCACTGTTCACCATGAGATAATAAGGATGTTCTGAAACCTGGTTCATTCATTCTGGATCTTCTATCCATCTGGACTTTTATCAAAATCTCTGCTGTCCCAAGTGCTGAAGGAAGGCGTTGATGATGGCATTCACCAAAGCTTTCATGCCAAGGCCCGACGTGAAGGAGGCCAGGCCCAGCTACTTTCAGAACACTTCGGAAGCGGGTTCATGGATGCACCCAAGTGTCAAGAGGAGCAGATTTGCATCCAATCCAAGGGGGGTTCCTATGGACATCCAGTCCATTTGGTGACCGGGAAGGGATGCTGACTTTCAAAGAAATTTACTAGATCCCTTCACACCATGTGGGATCCACGACCTCATCAACCATGTTTAGTATTTATGCCTCACAACTCCTTTGTTTATCTGATCATGTTATTCTTCCACCTCTGGTTTCCATTGAACATGGCTGCTCCTCGTTCATTTACCGCATGGACCGGTTCGAAAGGGAATCGCGATATATCCCCGGGCTGTCTGTCTTCAAGGACATGTTGAAGCCCAACACAGCCAAGGCATGCTGAAATTGGAAGTTACCAACACCTGACTCCACACTGAAACCGGATCAACAAAAATCAATAATAATATTAATGTTTAATACCGGTGGTCCCTGTATCAACACCTCAAAAAAGGGGCATCCTCCAAAACCACACAACAAAAGGAGATCGTTGAATCCTTAGAGCCCTTAGGAGACTGAACCCTCCCAAACAGGTTCCAACCTTGCCTTTGTTTCGCCCTTCTCCGTCAACTCCTCGGGGAATGACCTGATGGAACCTGTGAGCGGTCGGAGCTTCTTCGGTGCGGACAACAAACTGTAGCTGAACGATGCTGAACGGTCACAAAAGGTCCCTGAAACTTTGGATTTGGGGTCTGGAGTACATGTTTCCCTTTCCGGAAAACAAAAACTCTGGTAGATATACTTGGAATTTGTGTGAGACGTAAAGACTGTACGAAGGGCAGCGTCTATCATTCATCATGTCCACCTAGTCCAAAGATTTCCGCTGTGGAGAACACATGTTGTCCACTTCTGAAAGAAACAACACACAAACCTTATCTCGTCACAACCTCAAAATATCCGGCAAGAAACATAGCTGTGTCTCAAACCTTTAGCAGGCTCAGCAACTTGGACAAAAAGGTCCAAAAACCTCGTGCGCAAATCAACATCTCGAAAGACCTGGATGAAGTTGATTTCCCTCCAGATCCACCAAACCCCCTCCGCTGAGCAGCCGTGGTTCCTGCCGCAGAGGCGAAGTTAGCTCTGCTTCCGCTTGGCCAGCGCCCAAGCGAAGAAGAGGATCGCCATCCTGGCAGAGGCTGCTCGGTGCGGACGCATGCGGATGCGAGCCTGCCGGAGATCCGGGGCCATTCCCGGCCTGCTGGGTACGATCCAAAGAAACTGATGCAGTTGTTTTTTTATGTATACTGGTAGAGGCTGAAAACAGCCTCCCTCAGCTCACCCACTGGTGTTTGATCAACTGATCTTCCAGTGTTTGATCTCTTTGATGTGAAGGGGATGCTTCTGCAAAAGAAAGCCATGTCTAGAACAGCCCTGTATGGCGCATGGGTTTGCAAGGGAACAACATAATCTTTCATAATGCTGCGGCCAAGAAGAGGCCTAGAATCATTTCTGATATGAGCACCATCACCCACGTACATGCCACTGCACTTTGGTTGCAAAGTGCCCACCAAATGTCGGTTTCTATGTGTGTGTGTGTGTGTTTCCGCATGGCATGTGTGTCTGTGGCCAAAATTCTACGCTTAGCGTGTGTTTAGTGGGCCAATTTAGATTTCACTGCGTTCTTCTGCATGGCAGCGAAGATGCAGAACGCACGTCTCATGTTTGTGTATCTGCCCAGAAACCTACCGATGTGGGGTCCACCACATCTTGACTTCATTCTGCTCCCACATGGCACACTAAACAAGCAACACGCGTCTCATGCCGTTGTAATTACCTGCCCAAGCATTTTACCTGGAGCAAAGGAAGGTCCTATCGCAGAAGGAAGGCATCCTGAAGCAACATCAACACCCCAAAGCACTTGGTCTACCACTAATGTAATTTAATGCAGACTCTTGATTAACAACCCCCCCCTTATGAAGATGATGCTCATGGATTTTCCAACTCAATTGGGGGTGGTTATTTTTCTCAAGAGTCTAACCGGTGGGAAAGTCTTCTTCTGGACTTCGTCGTCAACGGCCGGCGCCTCGGCCCTCCGACATCCCGGTCCAGCATACGATCCACAGCAGGAAGACCAGCAGCGCCCAACCTGCGAGGTTTCATCGGTCAACGAGGTCAAGGTGCGGACGCTGCAAAGCGAGGTTCCCAAGAGAAGCGACTGACATCGCCGTCGTTGTCACTGGAAAATGTTGGTAGACAAGTCTTCTTTGGAGTGAATCCAGGTTGGACCAAGAAGGGGCTCCAGTCTAGTAGTGTACAGTTTTGAGCTGAGTCCCCCGCTTCCGGGCCACTTCCAAACCATGAACTATAGCTAGGACTCGGTGTACTTTCCACGAGAGGGTGACCCCAAAAACGCCCTACAGATCCCTTTCCCAGGGTCCAGGTACGGGTGACTCTTCGTTGGTGGGGACAGAAGAGGTCGCCTCTTAACTCAGACCTCGGGAGACTTCACATCTGACCAGCCACGGTCGAGTCACGTGTTGAACCACCCCGGGGGGGGACCCGGGAGGCCCCCGCCCTGCCGGCCCTGCCCCCCCACCCAAAAAGAAGAATTGCTTGTTTGTTTGTTCCCACATCTGAATTCAAAGTACTATTTATTGGAATTTAAACCAAAACGAGATAAAACGAGGTTTGTTCGCCCAAAGCTTGGAGCTTCAGTGCTAATTCAGGTTCCTTCACCCCAAACACCTCCCCTTACATGGAAGAGTTGCCCATCTCGAGCCCTTCAACGCACGTAACACGTACCACCCTTCTGCTGTCTTGTGGGTGCTGGGAAGATCTGGGAAACCCCAAAGAATCTGGCCCCGTGGGCCGCCCGAACCACCCTGACGCCCTGAGAGAGGTACCAATTCGGTACCATCGATCCTCACGGACGGAACATCTTGATGGTTTCACTTTCATTCGGGGGGTATACCAGGTCACCTGGCTGGACACGGTGTCACCTGGCTGGACATCTCCACAGGTCACGGAGTCACAGGTCTCCAGACTCCAGGGCACCCCGTTACATAAAGCGCGAAAAGGTAGATCCCTTCAAAATTCAGCCACCAAGCAAGGGTGGTACTGCTCACCCCCATCTATGAATGTTTGCTTCGCCTAGAATGTGATCTCCCATAGGAAGCTCAGGTCGTCGATCCTGGAGAAACACGGCGCGGGGGTTGGGAATCCGCAGGATAGAAGGCGAAAAAGAACACATGTCTTTCTTACTTTTACCATGCCTAATAAGTGCCCCCTGTTTCAGAATAGTTCGTGTAGGGTTCCTATCTGGCAACTTATAAGTTTTAGGTCATAAGGATCTATGATCTATAGCAGGAATGCATCGAGCTTTCAAAGAACCTGGAGCCGCGGATCCGTTCAGCATGTACGAGTACTTCCTCTTCAGTCCATGTGCGGCCCATTCTACAAAAAAAACTGGTCGGGTAGAACTGTCCCCAATGGTTTTGATATTTGGAAGCGTCAATGGCCCAAAATCGGCGGTATCCGGACTCGAACCACCGCCCCAGGAAAAAGGGTTAAAGATCCGTTGTTAGGGTCCTTCCACGGAGAAACAAGAGGCAACACGCCTTGGAACCCCCTTGGTGTCATGAGACATCGGATCCTCCCGGAGAGGTCCGCCGCTGCGTCGTGTTTCGCCGCCATCGCATCATTGGAGAGGCGGAAGCACAAGCTGCGGACAGCATTCCAAAATGCTCTCAGTGAATCCCCGTCACTAACTGTCCGTCCTACTTTCATATGTTCCCCAAAACGGAAACTGTTCACTTATGTTTTAAAAATACAAAGAATATATTATTATATAATATATAACACATATATACTACTGCCGACAATTGTCAGTGACTATCGTCCAAAGTCGAGCAATGAGGCGTGCTGCTGCATGCAGCCGAACATACAGTCATGCAAGAACGCCGACGGCTCTGAATGCTGAATCCAGCTGTCCCGCCCAAGAGCAACACTTGGCACTCAAAAAAGTCCTTCAAAGGAGGTGGCCGGGAGAACAAATGCTTGCATCTCGAAGGAAAACAATAAGACCCGCATGGTTGTGTGAAGTGACCTCTGAAAAGGCTCCAGCCGTGATGCTATGCCCCAGGAGGTACTTTAAAAAAGGGCCCACGACATGAACATGGCAAAGTCATTGGCACGTTGTGTGCCCTAATGGTACGAGCTATACATGAGACAATTGCAGTGGCCGATCAAGCAGCTCAATGTTCGGATGCTCTCGGATGACTCTGATCTGCTCAGATAGTGTAGGCTCATGAAACGATGTTGAAGAACGTCTACGGCCATTGGGATGTGATCTAGATATCCGTCAAGTCCAAGACCCCTGGTCACTCAACATGAACAGAATGGACCATTCTGGGGAGATCAACCCTTTGGAAGGGTTAGGTTTGACACAGTGATCCCAGTGTCATCACAACATCAGGCCTCCTAAAACCACAGCTCTTGAAAGACATCAAGCACCTGGCCCTACGTCTCGCACCAAACCAAACGACGACCTTTTCTGCGCCGCCACGGCTTCGTTCGGTCATGCACCACCCGGTCGACCGGGGCTCACCCCGCCCAGGTTCGGTGCGACCCGCTCGCACCGATGTGGCGGTTCGGAGCCCGGGATGGTCGCCCCAGGAGCAGCTCCAGATGTGCCAAGTGGCGGTAGAGCATCCATTGGATTGGCCAGGTCGATCCGGCTTACACACAGATCCATGAGATCGGGATTGATGAGGGTTGGCAAAGGACTAGGGATTGCTAGCTGCAAATGATGTCTCGTATTACGCGTATTATATCGTGAAATCTCTGGAGGCCATCCGCAGACTTGGGTGGAGTGTTCCTGGAGTGTTCCGCATCGTTCACTAAAAGTGGGTTAAGTGCTTCTGCCCTATATTTTCCAGATAGGGCTCCTCGGCATCCACTCGTGAGCTTCAATTTCCATTTGGTGTTTTCCATTTCTATATATGAAAAAAAGTGAAGATCACAAAAAATAGGAAAATAGGAACATCAGCATCCCCCAGTTCAACCGTTCTGACCCCACTCACCGGCCAGAGCTTCGTATCCTGGCCAGAGCGATGGGACCAAAAGAGTTCACAGCGTCAGCACCGAATGTGGCCACCAAATTGTGTCTTACATAGCCCAAACACTGTATGGTATATATGCATACATTGACCCCCCAAACCAGGTATATATGGCAGTGGAATGGAGTGTCTGGGAATTGTTTCTGAAATTCTACTATATCAGAATCTATATGAGTCATGAGTGAACGTCGAACTTTCTGAAGGACATGCGGATGCCCACATCCATATTATCACATTATAGAACTTTGATGAACTTTGTAGACTTAGAAGGTCTTCATGAATCCATGTTTCGTCCTGTCTAGAACCTCCCTGATGCATGTGCACATGTGGGCTTTACTGAGACACACACACACAACAGCCGCAAGAAGTAATCACCTATACAATACACTTAGACACTTAGAGTTCCAACTACCCTCTCAGAAGGTACCGAGTTTGCTGGGTCTGGCCATACTAACGGAACCTGAGGGATGTGTTCGGTCTTCCTTCGCGTCCCACGTCCCATGTTCCTTCGACCGCGATCCGCTTTCGCGACCGATGCCCGACCGTGGTGTCCTCGGCTGTGCTTGTGCCGAGCGCGTGAGCAGCCAAATCCACGTGGGATCCTCCTGGGACGGTCGGTCCGTTTTGCGCCGAACGAGTCGTGCGGCGCTGCGGCGGAACGAAGCGCACGGCATCGACGTCGCTGCGGCGCTGCGGCGCGGCGAAGGCGCTTCGGCTCGTTGGGAGAGGCGGTGGGACGTGGTGCTGAGCAGCATCGACGTCGTGGGAGTTCGAGGGATGCGGGGAGGGATGGTGGAAGTGATCAGTCATCTGAAAAAATGTCTGGACAGACCGGCAAACCGGTGGGTGGTGGGAGTTTGGTTGGTGTCTTTGCACTCCCTGAAATAGTCCATGGAAGTGGAAAACCACCCGTTTGTGAGTGTGTAAAGCTCAGGTGGTGGATTTCAACCATTGAAACTTGAAGCTTGAGTAAAATTGACCTATACCTGGACCGCCAAGAGAACAGGTCCGAGGTAGTCAAAGTACCCATTGTTTCCAGGGCGGCGGCGACAGCTAGATCTTACTGAAAAGGCTCAATAGACGTTTGATGCCAATGACTCTGCTGGAAATTGATAAATTCTTCCCACCAACTTCCCTGGTTCGACCGAGCGCGTGTCCTCTCCCGAGAGCGTTTGTCTCCCTCGGTCCTCCGGCTCTGTCAAGAACTCCAGGGAGGCGCGCCAGGTCACATGAGACTCACATGCACCGAGAAGCAAAGGAAGGGTGCAGGAATCCTTTGGTACCTGGTCAAGCTGAGAGTCAGGCGGGATGGTCGGGTGACTCAGTCAAAAGCCTGAAATAGATTTAGCTACAGTGGTTTCAAAGCCCTAGGGATCCAAGTACCTTCTCAGAAGGCACTTGGACCCTGAAAACCTACATAAGAGTGTCTCCAACCACCTCCTGAGAAGGTACTTGGATCCCCAGGGGAGTAGATTGCACAATCCCCAAGGTCGGTGGTTTAGTGGTTTATTATGATTTGTTATATGTGGACCCCCATCTGTCTAGGACATCTTCCCATGACCGTGTGCCATCGACCGCGGCACACGAGAGGATGGCGGTCTTTGAATGGGCCATGATCAAGAACTCGAGCTCCAGTCTGTTCATTTGAAAAGGGTCCGTGTGATATCGTGTGATCTTCAGCTGGCCTCCAAGCTTGAACACCCAAATCCATTTTAAGCGAATCAAGTAGTTCAGGTTTGGTCTACTGTTTTGATATGTTGTGATGCTTTGGCATGCTTTAGCTCAGCCTGCTGACTGCACTTCACCACCATCTTACCATGCTGGACAGTCTTTCTGGATGCCTGGAAGTGGAGATCTGTGAAAGCGTCACTGGACCCCCCGTCTTCCACATCCTTCCACCTCCTTCCACGCCCCACCTGTCGTCCCACATCGTCCAGGAGCGCCAAGACCACTGGCCACCGCTGGCGGCACACGCTCAACGCCGCGTTGAGCGTGATGCTGCTGGGCTGAAGACGAGCGTCGTGCCCGAAGCGGCGGAGATAGGACAAGGCCCTGCGCCAGAGCGGTACGCTGAGGTCGCACGAGGTGACCTAGGGAAGTCCGGCGTTCGGAACGAGTTCTCCCCCAACCAAATGGAGACCCCCCCCGAAAAGTGGTCCTTGATGTTGGGTGTGTAGTCCCTAGGGCTCCAACCATCTCCTCAGAAGGTGGTTAGACCCCCCAAATCCACCCCAACCATGTTCTCAGGAGGTGGTTGGAGCGCTAGGGATAGTTTAAATCCGGGAGAAATGGGTTTTGGTCTGTTGTCTTCTTCCAGAGGGTCGTTGCCTGGAAGGTCTCCCTCTTTTAATACATGCCCATTTCTGGACTCAATTGATAGTTCAACCATGTTCACGGTCTCAAAAAGGGTTTTAGATGGTTGTAGAATCCATGCCTGGTTATATAATGAATCAAGAGTCTCCAATCACTCAGGACTTTCGGGATGGTACCTGATTCTTGAGCACCAGATAGCACCAGCCACCTGGGAAAGCTTCTGGAACAAGACATGGAGAAGAACCCCCCAAAAGGTCATGACCAAAAGCGAGGAGCTTGGTCTTGGCATGGATATTTGACACACACACACACACACACACACGCACACATGAATTCGTTTCTACTTCCAGGTTGCCAGTCAGATTGTGATCTGGTGAACTGACATGCGCCTCCAGTTAAGCTACCAAAGAAATGCAACTTCTGTTTACCCCCCAAAAATACCTGTGTGAAAGCACCAGTCATGGTCTCACAGAACGACCTCTGAAAAGGTGACCGAAACAACAAAACGACCTCTTGGCCCGACAAACACCCCTGAGCCCGGCCCATCCACACTCTGGAAAACCCGGCAAACACATAACACTTAGCTATTCGGAAAAAATAAGAAGCAAAACACATAACAATGAATAACCATGACCTGTCTTCACACCCTGAAAATCCACATACCCTCTGAGAAGGTGATGTGTTCGACACTCTTGTGTCCAGTCGTACCTTCTGAGAAGGTACGCTCTGGATTCCTGATAAAACCATCTGACCATCTTTGGGAGTGGAACATCTACCACGGGAAGACCTCTGTCTTCATACAATCCTGATTCCAGGTTTGCTCTCATCGGTCGAACCGGTGACATCAAAGCTGCTGCGGACCGGTGCCGCTCGGTCCACCGGGGAGCCGTGACTATTCAGAGGATCGAACATGAGGGTTTCTGTGGACCCATGGATTCATCGACTAGACCCAGCTGTACTCAGTATACCCGGTAACTAATATAGCTTAGGCATGCCTAGGCTATATAGAGTATATAAGACGTTCAATGTTCCAAGCTCCAAAGGGATCCTGCCAATCAGTTGTACACCCTCCCATGTCGTCTCCAAATGGTGATCTACATCTTCTACTCCTATACCAAGGAGATGTTCACCTATATACCATGGGGTTGGTCCTCCAATCCCACAGGCACACGTCAGTTCTGGTGAGGTTCTTCCCAAGTTCCGGCTGAACCAGCTGAAGATCCGATGCCTAGCCACAGCAGCATCCATGCTGATGACATCTATGCGAATGCCTCCCACGAGCGCAAAAATAAACAAATCCAAGTGCGCCACTCTTCGAGTGTGATCATGTGGCTAATCGGACTTAAAGTATCTCACCAACCTGAATGGAGGCCCCCTTACTCCTGAAACAACAGCTATATATAGCTAGAAGCGTACTCTCTCATGCGTGGTGCTACCATTGTGGTGCTGCCAATGACAACGAAGAAAACCTTCAACTGAACAAATCAAGTGGACATGAAGGACATCCAATCATGCAATATACCTATGCGTCAATGCGCATCTTCTAACACATCCAGATCACATCTCTTCCGGACTTCCCCGGGAACACCATTCCCATCCCTCAAAGCTTTATTCTTCAATGTTTGAAGCCTAAAATTGCCCCAGAATTCTCTGCGTACTATGGCGACACCTCAGTCATTGAAGCAAAATGAAACAGCACAGCTGCTCAAAACAAGTGGGGAATGTTTACCAGCCCATTGATCCCGAAGCAACCACCCCAATGACCCCAATGTACATTCTGTTGGCACCAGCCGCTTTGTTTCGCGAGCACTCTGGCAAAATCCATCAAAATTTCCATGCCAATCCTCCCCCGTGCCTAGGGCCGCCTGCTCAACCACCCACATCTGTGTCCAAAGGCCTTTGGTTCACTCTCACCCGCAGCCCGTCCTGAGAACGCCATCTGCTCCAAGAGCTCGGCGCTGGCTCTCCACTGCTTGCTCTTCTCGCAGGCGCTCAGCGTGGCGTTGTAGGTCACATCGTTCGGCAAGGCGGAGGAGATCAACAAGCCTTGGACGGGCTGCTCGTGGGCTGAGGACGGGACAGGGGAGTGAGGTTTGGTGCATTTTGTGTCTTTTTTTTTGGATGGTTGGATAGTGGGAGTCTTCTGCGACAGGTTCAGCTTAAGCACATCCTGTATCTGGTTCGGGGATGTTCGGGATTCTTCGCTTGGAGAGGGGCTTTTTTAATGCTCTTGGATCCCTCGAAACATGCTCCGAACACCTCAACGACTTGGAACCTCGAAAGACGTCCACCACCCGCAACGACGACCATTGGAGCCTCTCTTCTCCGGGGCCCTGCGAGCCCAGCAGCTCAAGAGGGTCAGAACCATCCTCCAGCACTCGTAGCCGGACGCGGCGCCTTTCTCGCAGGAGCTCAAGGCGAGGTTCAGGAGGATCCTGAGGTTCAGGGCGCGGATTAATGTGGCCCTCAGATTTATAAACCCCCCCTAGAATAATGACTTTATTTTTCCTGCACAGATTTATAAAGGCCCCCAGAATAATGTTTTTTTTGGGGGGGAGGGGTAGTTGTAGTGGAATATCTTTTATTGTTATAGTTTACTTTTTCCATTTTGATTTGCTTTACTCACCCTCTATTCCTTATTTACTTTTCCTAAGCTCTTTAGTGTTGAAGCTTTCCAAAAGTATCCAAAAGTCAGTGCGCACTTTCTTTATAAACTCCCTTATTCAAAAGTATTGAAAAACAAAAAAAATAAACATTCAAGCAAAGGGGGTAGTCCAGCAAGCAGCTTTCTGACATTATT